GATACAGGTTCGATTACAGTCAGAATTTTAACTGTTTTCTTTAGATTTTTTAACATTTATATAGTCATTTATGTTGGTTTGGGAAAGGAGTCATTCTTTCAGGAATGGAGAAATTTGAAAAAAATCCATGGTGCAGATTTCTTTTGATAAGATCCAATATTGCTGTTTATTTATTTATCAAGAAATCTCTAAATATATAACAGAAGCTCCGAACCATGTGTAGCAGCAATATTCTAATCATGAACGAATGGTAGACTTATAGATATATAAGATAGATTCTGGAGAGAAAAACTGTCTGGCCCGTCACAGTGAACCAACTTTCTTAACTGCTGACCTAGCAATGTATTCAATATAGTCTTTCCATTTCATGTCAACCGGGAATTTTAGCTCGTAAACGTTCAACGAGTATCTCTCCTGGAGGTTAGCATCTGCCATGCTGATGGAAGGCATACAACGGATGACGACTGGAATAAAGTATCTGAAATTATTGTAGTGATATAATTATTCTACTAAATTTCGCTAGGCTCATGACTTCAAAATCAGAGATTTGCAAGTTATGGTTAAAGAGTAACTATGGCGCCGGAGTATTTAACCTCGGGTCTCTGGCTAAATCTACCGTTGGTCAATCGTTTGGCGACAATCTAATACCTTAGGCTTTCTCTTACGGTGGCTTTGGCCAATATGTTATGGAAATTAATGCATGCAGAAGACAGGAAACTGAAACACACACACACACACACACACACACACACACACACACACACACACACATATATATATAAACACATACACACATATACACACATATACACACATACACATACTCACATATACACACATACACATATCCCACCCAAACACACACATACACGCACATAAGTACATATGATAAAGGCTTACAAATAGAGGGAGGGAGGGAGGGAAAATAACAACGAGATTAAAACGGGAAAGAAGAAAGAAAGAAAGAAGTGATAAAAGGAAACGGATAGAAACAGAGAATGAGATACGGGGAAAGAGAGATAGAGAGAGATTACAATGGAAAAAGAAAGGAAGAAAAAAAAGAGCTATACAGAAATGAGAGAAAAAGAAAGATTCATATATCCTGAGTGTGTGTGTGTGTGATAGAGAGAGAGAGAGAGAGAGAGAGAGAGAGAGAGAGAGAGAAAGTAAGAAAAAAGGAGAAAATGGAGGATAATAAAGAGGAAAAATAGAAAGAAAGAAGAGTAAAAGAGAAAACAATCGGGGAGGGTGTGAGAGAGAGAGAGAGAGAGAGAGAGAGAGAGAGAGAGAGAGAGAGAGACAGGACGCAAAACTAGGAAAAAGAGAAACAGAAAATAAAAGAAAGAAAGGTTGAGTGAAAGAGAGAGTGAGAAAGAGAATTAAGGAGAAAGAGAGATTGAAACTGAAAAGAATGTAGGAAAAAGGCTACTCTCAGACACACACACTTGCTCACATATCTATGAATCTTATGTGTCAAGGTTTACTATGGGAGTAACAGCTTCCTACTACTACTTCGTGAGGTAATTCAATTCGGGAATATTTTCTTGTCCAAGTGCTTATTCATCAAATATTTTATAATGCATTCTTATACTAAAACGACCAACAATGCATTCTTATACTAAACGACCAACAATGAATTTATATACTAAAATGACCAACAATGCATTCTTATACTAAAACGACCAACAATAGATTCTTATACTAAAAAGGCCAATAATGCATTTTTATACTAAAATGACCAACAATTCTTATATTAAAACGACCAACAATGCATTTTTATACTAAAACGGCCGACAAAGCATTCTTATACTAAGCGACCAACAATGAATTTTTATACTCAAATAACCAACAATACATTCTTATACTAAAACGACCAACAATGCATTTTTATACTAAAATGACCAACAATGCATTCATTTACTAAAACGACCAACAATGCATTTTATAGTAAAACGACCAACAATAAATTCTTATACTAAAACGGCCAATAATGCATTTTTATACTAAAATGACCAATAATGCATTCTTATACTAAAACATCCAACAATGCATTTTTATACTAAAATGAACAAAGCATTCTTATTCTAAAACGGCCAATAATGCATTTTTATACTAAAATGACCAATAATGCATTCTTATACTAAAACGACCAGCAATGCATTTTTATACTAAAACGGCCAACAACTCATTCTTATACTAAAACGACCAACAACGCATTTTTATACTAAAATGACCAATAATGCATGTTTATACTAAAATGAACAACTGCATTTTTATAGTAAAATGACGAACAAGCATTTTTATACTAAAATGAACAATGCTTTTTTATACTAAAATGTCTAACAATGAATTTTTTACTAAAATGAACAACAATACATTTGTATCCTAAAATGACCAACGATACATTTTTATACTAAAACGACCAACAATGCATTTTATACTAAAATAACCAACAATACATTCTTATATGAAAACGACCAACAATACATTCTTATATTAAAACGGCCAATAATGCATTTTTATGCTAAAATGACCATCAAGGCATTCTTATACCAAAACGTCCAACAATGCATTTTTACACTAAAACGACCAACAATGCATTCTTATACTAAACGACCAACAATGAATTTTTATACTAAAATAACCAACAACGCATTCTTATACTAAACCGACCAACAATGCATTTTTATACTAAACCGACCAACAATGCATTTTTATACTAAAACGACCAACAATGCATTCTTATACTAAAACGGCCAGCAATGCATTTTATAGTAAAACGACCAACTATACATTCTTATACTAAAATCGCCAATAATGCATTTTTATATTAAAATGACCAGCAATGCATTTTTATACTAAAACGACCAACAATGCATTTTTATACTAACATGACCAACAATGCATTCTTATACTATAACGAGCAACAATTCTTTTTTATACTAAAATGACCAACAATTTATTCTTATACTAAAACGACCAACAATGCATTTTTTACACTAAAATGAACAACTGCATTTTTATAGTAAAATGACGAACAATGCATTTTTATACTAAAATGAACAATGCTTTTTTTATACTAAAATGTCTAACAATGAATTTTTTACTAAAATGAAGAACAATACATTTGTATCCTAAAATGACCAACAATGCATTTTTATACTAAAATGATTAACAATACATTTTTAAAACAAATGACAATAAATACAGGACAAAACATTTTCGTCATGAAATTACCATCAATACTTTCTTCTAATATAATGACCGAAAATACATGCTTATAGCAAAATGACAATCAATACAATACTAAAAAAGAGTATGAAAATGCATTTCATATTAAAATTACCAGCAATATATTTAAAAAAAAATATGAACGATTCATTTTCTCATCTACAAACTATAAAAAGTTTACAATTGCCCTGAAAGTAGAAAATGATATGAATATTTGTAGTCTCAGACCCAACAACTAACTTACACACTTTCCCACAAATGGAACATAAATTGTTAGCATTTAATGCCATTTCGTAATTGGTAGACACTCTGGTAAGAATTATTACTTCGAATATAACTTAATTGTTCTGCTTTACACAGGCAAAATCTACTACAATGTTTCTTAACAATTTTTGAGTCACGGGACCTTTTTAGTAAAGGATTCCTTTAGCCACAGACACCTATAAGAATGAGACCTTCATAGACTGACAGACAAACGGATACTCACAGTCTGGCTTTTCACAACGCTTTTACGTGCATTTCTCTATACTGCACCTTCATGCACATTGCATGCACATCACACACTTGAAAGAAATCGCGGTCGATTAATCCTCTTCAGTATATGTGAAGATAATCTATGATAAACCGTTTGAAGAAGAGAAGCAGTGGAGGGCCGTGATTATACAGAAAGTGATATAATCTACTTGACAAGTTTACGAAAATGGATATAAGAACAAGTACAAAAAAGACAAAGAGGAATAGTGAATGAGCAAGTATTGCTGAGTGCAACAAAAAAAGGAAAATGTGGAGAGCCGTGATTATAGTCTCTTGATCTTATGGAGTGCCAAAAGATGGCGGTCGTTTAGAGAAGGATGACACGCTTTTAAATGGTAAACATTGACCCAACAGCAAGTGAAGACGCCTAGATACGTAGTGGTCGGCTCTGTAAGTAATGGCTGGGCGAGTCTTTTTTTTTTCAAGCAATGACAGGATGCATTTTTTTATTATTTCTTTCAATGGGAAAACGTTGATTAGGACAGGGGCTGTGTAGCGAATATAACGTTTATTTTTGTCTGATCCTCGCGGGCCCCTTGAAACCCATCCATGGACCACCTAGGGCTTCATGGACCACAGGTGAAAAAGCCCTGATTTACTACAAAAATCGCATGTAAGCTCATGACTGTCAGCTATATAGTAATTTGTACATCATGGCGTTTGGGAGCACTTTAGCTTTTCATTTGCTATCAGCGAACTCTTGAAATCACTTTTCCATCATGGACATTCTTCTGCCAGGTGGCATACTCATTTGAACGGAACTCTCAGTTATGCTAACAGAATTTCTTTCTACACGTACGTCCATACGTTTCTCCCTCAGTTCCGTAATTACAATATGCATAAAAGTAATTAAGCGAGGTACACAAACGCCGTCAGCATAATGTTGAATAATTAAGTCAAATAGACATTTAAATTGCTTCTGGGCACCGTTGGCAAATATCTCACCCACTTTGCCTGAAGATATGAATTTTAGTTACTGGAGTGAATCGATCTTCGGATTTTATAGTATACGAAATATTAGGTAAAATGTTTGTAACTCAGTTTGTTAGTAATTGTGAGTTCAATCCCTGGGCCGGGTAGTACAGATTCAGACTTAGAGAAGACAAAACTAGTATTACATGCGGCTTTTCCCGTATTGCAAAAACGGGCCATCATGGAAGCTAAGTGCATCAGCGGCTTGGCCTGAAAGTTAACCTTCTGGCCACCAGGTGTGAATCAACATGAAAAAGGTGGTC